AACTCAGGTCTGCTGGAAGAGCAGCAACTGCTCTTAGCTACTGAGTCATCTTTCCAGTCAGTCCCAAGTAAATGATATTCTAAAAAAAAAAATTAAATAAATAAAACATTATAAATAAAGCTTAAAAGACATGTTAGTAATTATTCTGTTCTACTGTACAAAGAAACCTAGTCATTTTAACCTTTCATTTCCAAACACTGGTGGCTCCCACTTACACACAATGGTCCTGGGTAATACTCAGAATAATGTAGTGAATTATTTTAAAAGCTTTGTTCTTGTTTTCATTTTCTTCCCCAGAGTGTTGGGGATCAAACCCAGGGCCTTGTGCATGCTAAAGTTCCTACACTCCTAGTCCTACTCTTTTGTCTTAGAAACATATATAATTTTATTTGAGAAAAGAAGCAACCCACATGTTGATGCTATTGTTTTTATTTTACTGAGACAGGGTCTTGCTATATAGCTAAGGCTAAGCTGGAACTCACTAAGTAGGCCTCAGTGGCCCTGAACTCATGGCACTCTTCCTGCACTAGCCTCTCAACTGCTAGGATTACAGGTATACGCAGCTAGGCCTAGTTTCAGCTTATAAATTTCATTATGCAATAAACTATAGTTGTAATACCCACCTTACAGAAGCAGCAATCCATGAAATGAACATATATTTTTTAAAAAAAAAAAATTTCCATCTGTTTCTTCACTGGCTTAATTATAAACACCTACTACACTAGATCCCTAAAGTGATAACAGACACAAAACAAACAGCAATGTAGGCAATATATAATTATTTCGCCGTAATTATTTTGTGCTTTTTCACAGGAAAGTATTCCCTGCTCTTCACCGTGAGCTTTCCCTATTTCCTGGGAAGATAATCTTTCATTCTGAAAGCCTGTGTCCTCCCAAATCTAATATAAACTTACCACAGCTTAGTGATCATTTCATAGAACCACCACTTTATCTTTATCCACTAAGCTATCTCACCGGCACAGGATCTTTAGAATTTAAGAGTCATCAGCTATTATTTCCTCTACGATTAGTACTGCTATTCTCTCTCTTAGCTCCCATTGTCTTTTGTTCTAATGTATTTCCATTATAAACTATCTCCAGATTGAAATTCCAATAAATAGTTTGTGACACTTTCCTGTCAAAATCTGAAATCTAGAGGCCAAAATTCCTATCAACAGTTTCAAACTTCAAGGTCTTTTATAATTTATTAGGTCTCATTTTCAATTACTTCCCAAAAAATTATCTACTGAATGAAGCTTTTGTCCTAAGATTGGTATTAAGATCTACAAATGTGGGGCTGGAGAGATGACTCATCAGTTAAGAGCACTGACTGCTCTTGCAGAGGACATGGGTTCAATTCCCAGCACCCACATGCCGGCTACGAACTGTCCTTAATGCCAGTTCCAGGGGAATCTGACCACCTCTTCTGACCCCGTGGCACAGCACGACATGGGTGCACTCACATACATGCAGGCCATACATTCATACACATTAAAAAAAAAAAAGTTACGCCAAAACCCCCCACAAAAAACCCCATAAAACCCTATACCCCCCCCACTCCCAATACAATGTTGAGCATAAAGACAGACTTGAATATACAACTGGGGCTAGGGATGTGGCTCAGTGGTACAATATCCTAGTAAGCTCCTGTATTTAATTCTCAATACAGTAAGAAAACAGAACTCTTTAGAGCTAGGTAGGGTGGAACATGCTTAAGTAAAGCCAAAGCACTCAGGTGTGACTGGCAGGATGGTCTTAGGTTTGAGGCTACCTACTGAGACCCTGGTCTTTTTTTGTTGTTGTTGTTGTTGTTTTTTTGTCTCCCTGTAGCCCCAGCTGGCTAGAACTTGCTATGTAGACTAGGCTTGTCTCAAACTCACAGAGATCCACCTTCCTCTGTCTCCCAAGTGCTGGGATTAAAGGCATATGCCACCACACTCAACTGAGACCCTGGTCTTAAAACACACACACACACACACACACACACACACACACACACACACACACAACTAGCCAAGGTGGTTCAGTGAGTAAAAGCACCTGTTCCACAAATTTGATACCCTGACTTCAGTTCCCAGCACCCATAGGGCAGCTAACAATAGCCTGTAAATCAAGTTCCAGAGGATCTGAAGACCTCTTCTGACCTCCATGGGCATTGCACACATATACCCCCACCCACACACACACACACATGCACGCAAAACACTCGTAACATAAAATAAAAATAAAATAAATACAGGGCTGGAGAGATGGCTCAGTGGTTAAGAACAGTGGTTATTTTTGTAGAAGACCTGGGTTAGAATCCCAGCACCCACATGGCAGCTAACAACTGTCCATAACTCCAGTTCCAGAGGGTTTGATGGCCTCTTCTGTCCTCCGTGGGCATTGTGCAACATGGGTGCACTTACCTACATGCAGGCAATACACGCACACACATAAAATAAAAAATAAAAAAATAAATAAACTAAATTAATAAAACAAAAATTAAGAAAAGACATCGTTTTGCCCACCAGTGAAACCTGACTACCTTGACCAAGTACCTCGGATACTCAGTGATCTCGTTCGATGAATTTATCTGGCAAACTCCAGCACCTCAAGATGACGTAAGATGCTTACTGATTAGCACATACAACTGGGGGTATATCACCAGCTATGTGAAACATAATAAGCAGTCAAGATAAAGGGAATGCTGCTGCTCTTAAACACTGACAGAGACAGAACTCCAGCATTTCTACTTTGTCTAGTAAACAGTTTATTTCCCAATTAATTTTTTTGGCTGGGTGGCAGGAAGCTCAAGAATTCAAGGCCATCCTCAACAACATAAGACCGTGCCTCAAAAAAAGAGAAAAACCTTAACATTTCTTTCCCTTAATTCTTATGCAGCTTACTTTTGGTTGTGTCATTTTAGGCACTAGCACTGCAAATAAAGGGTATGAAGGTTTCTTTTCTTTGTGTATGAGTGCTGGGATTACACAGGCATGCACCACTACACCTGGCTAGTAATGCATTCATTATTTTCTTGTCATCAACTCTTCATCTCTCAGAGAAATCACTTCAGATTTAAGACTACTAACAAAAATCTGAGAGACTCAAATGTCAACGAGAATTTTTCCAAATGTGTTATACTTCTATTTTTACTATTTTGGTATTTCAGGCATAATCTAGAGAAAGACAGAAGAATACTGCCTGACAGTAAATTCTCACAATGTTGTCCTTTTAAAAGATCATGGCAGGGGCTGGGGAGATGGCTACTGTATATGAGATTCCCAGTACTCTGCATTTCCCATGCTGTGCAGTATTTAATGCTGTAGGGTACACTGTAGAGTCCATTTACTGATTTGTTTTCTGTCACAAGCAATTAGAATTTTGTTTTGGTCTAGTATATGGCCAGTACCTAGAACAGATGGAGCTCACTAAAATACAGCAAATACTTGATGAATGAGGGAGTCAACAAAAACAAAACATTTCATAAAGGAAAAGCCACTTTGTCCTAGTAACATGAGAAAGGCACTCCACAAGCATTTTCCATGCATTTCCTAAGTTTCAGAATAAAATTAATTCTGCTATTTAAAGAATAAACAATAAGGTTCTTTGCATTTTTCAAGTCTCCATTTTTTGTGAGCATAACATTTGTTAAGTAACAAATTTGGAACTTGGAATAGAAGCTGGGTGTGGTGGTGTTATGACTTCATTCCCAGAACTCAGGAGGTAGAGACAGGAGGCTTAGGAGCTCCAAGACCAGGGGAGAGGCCCCGTCTAAAGACACACCAAAGGAAAAAAGGAAGGAAGGAAGAAGGGAAAAAAAGAAACAGAGAAAAGAAAATAAATTGTAATGATCTTTTTATTTTGTCTTTTTGAGACAGGGTCTCCTTGTAGCCCCAGCTGTCCTCGAACTCACAAAGATCTGCCAGCCTCTGCCTCCCTAGTGCTGGAATTAAAGGTGTGCGCCACCACGCCCATCATAATGGTCTTTTTTAAAATAAGCAAAACCTTCATGGTGTGGTGGTTTAATCCCAGTACCTGGGAGGGCAGAGGCAGGAGGATCAGGAATTTCAGGCCACCTAGGTTTACACCAAGAGAGGCCTCTTTTCAAATAAAAACAAACCAAAACAATAACAAATAAACCCCAATGCAAGCCTAGGCTACATGAGATCTTGTCTCAAAAGAGAAAAGAAAAAAGAAAAAGGAGAAAATAGTGGTGTAGTACAGTATGTTTTATTTTATTTAAGATAGGGTTTCAAATGGGGCTGGAGAGATGGCTCAGCAGTTAAAAGCACTGGGTGCCCTTGCAGAGGACCCCAAGTTCAATTCCCAGCACCCACATAATGGCTAACAACTATTTGTTACTCCAGTTCCAGGGGATTAGGCACCCTCTTCTGACGCCCTAGGACCTCGCATGACACAGGTGCACCTACTTGTACACAGGTATTATACTCATATATATAAAATAAAAATAATATTAAAAAGACGGTTTCATGTTAACCTTGGATGTCCTCAAACTTATTATTTAGCCAAGGCTAACCTAACTCCTGACCCTTCTCAGTCTATCTCCCAAGTACAGGGATTACAGGTATGCTCTACCATGCCTGGTTAACACTGCCATTTTCTGGGAAAATAGTGTAGGTGATTAAGTATATTCTCCTTCAAAATGTTTATAGCAGCATTTAAACTTTTGGAGCTTTTTCCATTTCTGTCTTAAAACTCAAGCTAGCAGTTTCCAAAGAACAAAGTACAATACGTGTGAAAATGTCACAATGAAACACAATGTGTCCTAGTAAATAAATAAATAAAAGGAAAAGAAAACAATATTTTTCAGTCCTAACTCCAAAGCAACTGAATTAATCTTTAGGAACTTAACAGGTTTTTAATGCTCCCCAGGAAACCTTGGAGATTAGCCAGCTCTGGAAAACACTACATGGCAAGCTGACAATGGGCGGATCCTTCTATCTGAGCACCTTGGCACACTATTTTGACAATGACCAAGTTTCACAGGTACTGACCTTCTTAGAAAGAGGAACGATGCTGCTGGGCCGAACAAGCCTCCGTTTCTTGCAGCTCAGTACAGGTCGTGTTCGGGCTGCAACACAGGTGCCATCAGATGATGAAGAAACTAAATTCAGTCGTTGCTTTTTATGTATTTGTTCCTCAGCATCAGAGTTGTCACCAGGAACATGGTCTGCCAGGACAGGCTGAAGACTGCAAAAAGGGAAAGGAGGTGATTCACTTTGCAGAATACAGACTATTAAGCCTCTAATGGTGGATCTACCTACTGACTTTCAATGCTCACAAAGCAGGTCATCTCTGGTTGACAGTACACACAAATCTAAGACACACCTGTGCTTACTCACAAGGGTCTTGGTGCACATTAACTATTATTGAAAAGGACAAAGGTCAGTTAGCAAACTCATGATTTAGTTTTCTTTTTAAAATACATTGTTTTTATTTTTATGTGTATGAGCGTCATGCCTGCACGTAGGTAAGTGCACCCATGTCATGCAATGTCCAGGTAAGACAGAAGAGGCTGTCGGATCCCCTGGAACTGAAGTTACAGACAGTTGTTAGCTGCCATGTGGGTGCTGGGA